GACACGGTTCCCAGCAGATCACCGAAGTCAAGCATCACTGGCTGCGGTCAGTGTGCGGGTGGGTGACCACTTGGATCAGTCTGCGTAGGGACCGAGGGTGTGCGGTATTGGTTCTCGTTAAACTGTGCTACAGTAAAGTGCTCGACTTCGCGCGCAGGTCGTCGGGCTACCGAAGCAGGGGTGCCATCCCCTCCACAAAGGATCAAAATTGCGATGGCATGTCTTCGGATCATCCTCAGGGATGTTTCCCAGACCATCGCCAATAGCTCATTGTGCAGCTCTAGTGCGACGTAAATTAACAACAAAATCTCTTATATTAAGACCCATTCTCACTGTATGCGAAAAAATCAGGAATTTGAATTCAAAGATGCAAGCTAAAACCTCGAACTGAATTAGTGTATATATTATTTGTTCAGTATGAGCCAGCTTTTAGGTCGACAGAAATAGGTAGTTGGAAACCTATGAAATGTAAATAAATAAAATCTTTTCGAATCGAATTGCAAATAAAAATTGGCTCTAATGTTTGTTCTAATTAAATAATAAAATGGAGAAATATGAAAAAATCCGCTTGGTTGGAAGAGGAGCACATGGGTTGAAAATATTCTAATTTTTATTCCACTGTCTTTTGCACTTCTCCCTGACTAAACTAATGCTCTATTATTTTGAATTTTATTTATAATACAGTAGGGAACCGATTATCCGGAACGATCGGGATCATCGCTATTCCGGATAACTGATTTTTCCGGTTTTCTGAATCGCTACAAAAAGCCGTTTTTTTATTGTTAAACCCAACTGAAAAAAAAATTTGGAAATAATCTTAAAAAGAAGAAAAAAAGATGAAGTAATACACTAACGATTATTTCCAAAATGATGGTAAGGTAAACATCTTTCAAAAAAGAAAGAAAAATCCTAAAATCTTATGAGGAAAAAAAAAATTTTTTTTTTGAAAATGGAGGGAAAATTTATTGAATTTCGTTCCGGTGTTTTGGTTTTCCGGTTTTCTGAATTCCGGATAACTGGTTCCGTACTGTACTATTAATCACTTATTTAAAAATTTTAACATTTCCGTTATTATATGTGTGATTTAAATTATCATTTTGAAATTTTGTATGCATCATCTAAGCTAATGTTTGATGTACCTTTATAATTAGTATTTTCTGTAAAAGTCTTTATTCTTCTGCAACCTAAATATTTAAGTTATAAAATACATAAAGTATTATTCTGTGTATTTTTTTCAATGTTCTTTCAATAAAATTGGATAGTAAATTAATTTATACTGTATTGTAAATTCAAGCTTAAGTTTTTTTTAAGCATTTAAAATTTTTATAACATTAAATTTCTGTTATGGAAATCTACGCCAAAATTATGGATATCTACGCCGAAACAGCCGAAGTTTTGTCAACTTCCAAGCAACATAAATTTTTTTAAAAATGTAGAAAATCAATTTGAAAGGTATGGGAAGATTTCCGTATTTTGATCTGTGGCTGAATAATCGCCAAGTCTTGGCAACTTCCTGTCAGCAGCCCTCGAGAAACTAAAAAAAGACATCTCTGAAATGGATAAACTCGAAAGGTATAACTCGTAAGCATTCCTCTGGCAAACATCGACGTATTTTTTCAAATTGCAAGTTTAAAATCTATTTGGCACCTTGATGATTGTAGTTGGCGTTGACAGATCATGATGTGAGAATATCCCCAAAGGTAAAGCTCATAGCCACTCTTGAGCAAACAGCATTTTTTAGTTTTTTGCAAGTTGAAAAACCTTTCGTCGCCTTGGCGAAGATACCAACACGAAAATAACCTTTTCTATTGCACATGTTTTACTACATTACTGAAAGTAAATTCAATTTAGAAGGGGATATTTCTGTATCGTGATCTTCCATGCCAACTGAAATCGACAAGGCGCCAAATTTATTTTAAAGGAGAAAAAATGTTAGAAATATACATGTAGAGATTTGCCCTTGATGGCTATGAGTTGTACCTTTTAGGATTGGTCCCTTTCTGTGATGTTCTTTTTTTAGTCTCTCGCGTGCCGCTGGCTGTAAGTTGCCAAGACTTGGCAACTTTTTTACCACAGATCACAATATAAGGAAATTTCCCTATTTTTGAGCAGTTCAGCAGTACAGAACCCTTTATCCGGAAATCAGAAAACAGAACAAACCGTAACGAAATTCAATACATTTTCCCGCCATTTTTTTTTTTTTTTTTTTTAAAAGGTTTTTTTTCTTCATAAGATTTTAGGATATTTCTTTCTTTTTGAAAGATGTTTACCTTACCATCATTTTGGAAATAATCATTAGTGTATTACTTCATTGCTTTTTCTTCTTTTTAAGATTATTTCCAAATGTTTTTTTTTTTTTTTAGTTGGGTTTAACAATAAAAAAAACGGCTTTTTGTAGCGATTCAGAAAACCGGAAAAATCAGTTATCCGGAATAGAGATGGCCCCGATCGTTCCGGATAATCGGTTCCCTACTTTACTAAAAAAATTTATAAAAAATCCTACCTCTCTACTTGTGAATCTTAACAATCACAATAATGAAGCAATGATTATTACTCTACGCTTAAGATAAAGCTTCTAGCAAAGTGCCTTTCATGGATAAGTTTTCAGAATTTAGAAAAACAAATAGTCATAGTAATGAATTGACCCAGATTGAAAAGGATAAGAATTTTTAATATATTTTAAACAATTTTATTTATTTTTTACAGAACTGTGTACCTCTGCAACCAAAAACCTGATAACAAACATGTAATTTTAAAAGAAATTCCTGTAGATCAAATGACTGTGGATGAGAGACAAACATCAATGAATGAAGCTAAAGTATTGGCTATGCTGGACCATCCCAATGTGGTTGCTTATTATGATAGTTTTTTAGAAGATAAAACAATGATAATTGTTATGGAATATGTTCAAGGTACATTATGTTCTGACCAGAGCACGAAAAACCGCCCGTCCTCGACGGTCAAAAATTCCCCACGGACAACCAATTTCTCGAATCCGACGTCCGTACAGACGCCCATTTTCCCATCTTGACCTTTGTCATTTAAATTATTTCATAAAGGAAACAAATTATTTCATAAAAGAAAGAAATTATTTCATAAAAGAAAGAAATTATTTCATGAAAGAAATACTATAGGTTACTATTAGTAACCTAGTTTTTTTTTTTAATTACTGTAGAATGTAATCCTTAGTAACTACTAATTCATTATGCAATTTATATAAATGTTTGTAATAAATAAGAGAAAATTGTATTTTTATTTCTTTAGGAGTTAGTTTAGAGGTTAGTTTCAAAGGAGGGCGTGAATATTGTTGGACAAGCCGTCCTCGGGGACGGGTAAAATTTCTGAGTTTTTTCGAGCCCTGGTTCTGACCATATTTTAATGTTCTAAACAAAAGTAATTTGTAATTTATTTATGAAATGTATTTAATATTTGATTATGATCCTGTGTTATTTTATAATGTTTTTATTTTAATTTTCTAAACAAAAATCTTCTATTGTTTTTCACTTCCTATATTTTATTAAATTTGGAATATCTTAATTATGTTTTTATTTTTATTTTCTGAACAGAAAGATGTGCTGTTGTTTATCTTTATTAATTTTATTTTCTGTATTTTTTTTCTGAACAATTTAGGAGGTACACTTTTTGATTTTCTTTGTAGTAGAGAAGGTAAACTCATGCCTGAAGAAGTAAGTTAATCACTTTTAAATCATTAAAACAAAATTATTCTCTCTATTTACTTTTAAACTTGTTTACAAATCAATTCTTACTTGTAACCTTTTGAACAGTTGTCCAGACTTTTTCCAATATAATTCTATATAAAGATAATGCTTTCCACCAAAAATTCTGTATAATTTAGCCTGTTTCTCAGATCTATACATGTATGCATTCTTTCTATAATCAAAAATCAGTGTTTTTTCCATTAACATCTATATCTCCAATTCTATGTGAAGATAGAACATTGCGTCAAAAATTCTGTATAATTTAGCCCATAGTAAAATGGTTCCATTATTAAACATTGTGTTATGTCTTGGTTAACATGATTGACACATTTGGAAAGAAAAAAGAAACTTGTAAATTTAAGTAGGAATTAAAATGAATAATTGTAGTTTATCAAAATTCCTAATTGTAGTTTACATTATTTGTTTATTTTCATTAAATTATGTGTCTTTGTAAAACAAATCTGTTTAAGGGAGCCTTCAACAATGTAAACCAAGTCAACGGAACAAAAATGTTTCATTTAAAAAGCTACCAACAGATCTATTTTAGAAGGGCACTTCGATTCACTTTATTTTTTGTAATGTCTTAATGAGTGCTCATTTGTAATTTTTTGAAGTATCGGATTCAGAATGAGTTGAGGATTAAATTGTTTTAAAACTTCAAGTTTTAATGTTTTTAATATATATACAGTGGGTGATCGGTAAACGAACAGATCGGTTAACGAACAAATCGGTTAACGAACACTTTCATGAAAGATTTTTGTGTTCGGATAACGAACACTTTCAAGAAAGATTTTTTGTGTTCGGACAACGAACACATATTTGGATAATGAACAAAACGAATTCTAACGAACACTTCTCGGCCTGAAAAAAAAAGTACTATTAAACGTTTGTTATCATTTTGCATACAAAATAAGATCGCTGAAAGGAGAAATGTTTAAAGTATGCTTAGTATTAATAATGATAATTACTAAATGAAACTTGAATTAACAAGGAATTTAAATTTAAAGGTCATTCAATAATTATTATTATAAAGCTTAAAACACTTCTCGTTTACCACTCTGAGAATCCCAGAGCATTAAAAAAAAATTCCATAATTAAGAACAAACTGCCAGTAATGTGGAGATCGAATCAGAGGGCATGGGTCATGCAGTATCTTTTCAAAGAATGGCTATTTAAAGTTTGTGCCCCGAGCATCAAGGACTACCTTGATACCAATGACTTACCGTTGAAAGCACTGCTGCTGTTGGACAATGCACCAGGACATCCAAAGGATCTTGAAGATAATTTGCTGACAAACTTTCCCTGGCTGACAGTTCAGTTTTTACCTCCGAATACGACTTCACTGATTCAGCCGATGGATCAGGAAGTTATTGTGGCTTTCAAGAAATTATACACTTGCGCGCTGTTTCGTCGGTGTTTTGAAGCAAGCCAATTCTCCTCAACAATTATTTCAAAAAAGTTTTGGAAAGAAAAATGTGACATTCTTGAAGCTATTCGTATCATTCAAAAGGCATGGTCAGAAGTCACACAGCGACAGTTGATTTCTGCTTGGCGGAAACTGTGTCCATCCTTCGTTCAAGGTGACAGAGGTGATCAGGGAGCCACCCCTGAAACTATGGATGAAATTTTGACAACTACTAGAGATCTGGAATTGGAGGTGAACGAGGATGACATAGAAGAGCTCATAATGGGACATGTAGATTAACTGACGATAGAAGAACTCCAAGAAATTTTGAATGAAGAGCACCAAGAAACACAGCGAAATGTGTCTCCTTCTGAACAAAAGGAAGACGAAAGAAGATACCAATGCTGACATCTGCCGTTAAAGATCTTTTGAAAAAGTGGGAGGATGTCAGAGCATTGGTCTTAGAATGGCACCCAAACTAAGCTGATGTCAGTAGGGTTGGGGATTTTTACAACGACAATGCTATTAATTACTTCCGGAAAATCCTGAAAAAGAGAAAAAAGCAATCGACATTGGGCATGTTCTTCAACGCCCCATAAGCAGAAACTGAAAAGGACTGATTAATATGCAAGACTATATGTATGTATTATTTTTTTAAAAACTTAATAAGAAATTATACATTTTTTAAATTAAATTTTTAGGGTCTCCAGAACAAATTAATCGATTTCACATGGAAGTCTATGGTGAATCGATGATCGGTTAACGAACAATTCGGATAGCGAACATAGTCTTGGAACGGATTATGTTCGTTAACCGATCACCCACTGTACTTGCCATTTTTAACATTTTACCACTGTTACTGGCATTGTATTACTCAGACATTCCGTGTACTATCTAGGCATTTTATAGAATACTTGGCATTTATTAAGCAAAGTATGGAATAGATTTATTATATGCATTACTTTACCCTTCTATGGGAGGTTGACTGAATGTAAACAATAAAGATCTTCCTTAAATCGGAAGAAATTTAGAAAACTTCCAGTGTATCCATCCGCTTATGTTATGCCTACGAGGTGATGTGTGAACAGGCTTAATATTTTAGGAAGTTTTATTAATGTGTTTTATGTTTAAATTTGTACGTAATTTTACCATTTCAAAAAGTTTCCTATAATTAATAAATTCTAACAGGTTGTGAGCCTAAAATAAATTTTTAAAAATTAATATCACAATACAAAAAAAGTTTGAGGTTTGCCATGTTTTGAGTATCCCTTGTTTGGCTATATTTGTGTGAAATATCACCGTTAGTTATTTTTTGAGTTGCATTTTGCAGGGCAAAACATGCTTGCTGAGTCTTCAAAAATCTTATGTTGTTTATTTTGTTGAAATTTAAACTTAAAAAACACGTTATATTGTAAACACTACAAGTACGATAATATTTTAAGGCACTCTCTTTCAAGTTTATGCATAAAAATCAATCGGAAGCTGTAATCCAGAAGTCTTACAACAGCACAATCTGTTCTTAGCTTTATACGGTCAACAATCCATAGAAAGACTAATGGTCTTGAATTAAAGTATGTTTATTGACTCCTTAACTAACACAGTTTTTCCATTTTAATGCAGCGCAGTATAAAACTATTTTTTTTAAAATAAAATTATGTATCCAATGTACAAATTTAAGGCGATTTTTGATATTCGATAGGATGCTGGAATTTCAGATCCTATTTACCACTTATTTTGATAAAAAAAATTTCCTATAAAAGTAAATATCTGTCTCATGATTCTTATCCACAAGGTATTTTTTAACCCTTTTATTCGGGCATTAACTTTCTCTCTACTTATAATTAGAAACGGACTCTGTCATTTTTTAATCAAAATTTTTTTCTCCTGACATCGACTAGGAAATTCTTAAATATTTCGGTCAAATGGTGTACACTCTGCAACATGTGCATGGAAAGCTTATTCTTCACAGGGATTTGAAATCTCAGAATATACTTTTAAATGAAAAGCAAAATGTTATAAAAATTGGTGACTTCGGAATATCTAAAGTGCTAACCAGCAAAAGTAAAGCCTACACTGTAAGTATGCATTGTTATTTGTTTATTTTCGTGAGTATCCTAACGAATACAAGTGATATGCAAAATTTCTCAGCTACATATATTATCTTATGTAATATTTTAATCAAATCCACATGAATCCACGTTTGATTTTCTCCCTCTTTTTTTTCTCTTTCTCTTATATATTTATATAAGAAGACATATATTTGCATTAATTTTCCTCCCACTTTCATTTACTTTGATAGTATTTTAATTTTTCACTCTGATTTTATTAATAGAAACATTTGATCAATGGAAACAGAAAAATAAAATTTAAAAACTTTAGTATGTATCACATTTTTTTATACATAATAACATTTCTCTTCTCTCATTTTATATAAATTTGATAGATTTTAAATTAATAGAAAAAGAAAAATAAAATTTAAAACCTTTAGTATATCACATTTTTTTATACACAACAACATTTTCTATCAATCTGTACAGTTAAACTATGTAGATGAATAGATAAATTTGAATTAATTGTAACTATATAATTCATTGGTTGAATGTTTAAACTTTTTGTTATAAATATTGCAAATATATACATATAGCGGGACCTTGATTTTACTGTGTTTTGTACGTTATCCCACTTCCTACATTCTGTGCTGGTCCGTGAAAATTGCCTGTATTGATAATGTTAAATTATCTCGGATTTTACGTTACCCCCCTTTTTTTAAAAAATCTCGCTTTATACATTTTTCTAAAAGATTAAAATCTTTTTTTCTCTTCGAAACTCGTACAAACTTCTTCTCGGTTTTCATTTTTTTTCTTCTTTACTTTTCTTTAAAAAAAAGAGACTTGTTTATTAGCTGTTCCTAGCTTTTTGACAATATTTTTATTCTATACTATCCTTTTGTCTATGAGAGGAAATTTTTTGGTGGTGGGATGAGCAAAGCACAGGAATGGTATAAAGGGCAATTAAAGAAAGTATGACTGCTTAAATTGTAAAATTTGCAAGTTGAATTTTTTTCAGAAAACTTTATCCTTGGAATAATTTAATGAATGTTACATTGGTTAGGTAATCATTCCTTCATTACTGGTTCGGTCATCATTTTGGTGATCTGCAAAATTCTTCTAAAGCAAAAGTAAATGTTTTGAAAGCTGTGAATTCGATTTCTGCAGCATTAGATAGAGTCGATTAAAATGCATTACAAATGGGTTTAATAAGGCTTCTTGGGGTTAATTACTTCTTGGTTCAGAATTAAATTTCGTGGTCGAAGGCCTTTCAATGTCGATTATGCATATATCGGCTGCAACACACATCCATGTACTCTTCAATTCCTTCAATATCTATATATAATAATGCCGGTAGTGTAAGTATTGGGAGAAATTTGCCTTGATGGAGAACTTTTTGATAAAACTAGCATTATATGGAGAGAAAAACCTCTCATAGTTAGCCATAGTCGAACCCGGTTTACCTCATTGATCCACCACTGCTCTAAACAAACAAGCAATATTTTAAAAAAGGAGAAATCAATTTAGTGAACGTAAAGTTTGGATCTGGTTCAGTGGCCTCTTAACCTGGCACTCCGGGCGACAGCCCTACTTGCCCGCCCTGTTCGTACATTTTTTAATGCTAATCTGACAAAAACATAAAATCGGGGTTCCACTATGTATATATATATTTAATATATATATATTTAATATATTAATATTTATTTTATATATATATATGTTTGCATATTATTTGCTATTTATCTCCAGGTGGTGGGAACTCCTTGTTATATTTCTCCTGAATTGTGTGAAGGAAAACCGTATCCTAAATTTCAAATTTTATTTGGTGTCTGCTTCAAATTTCTAACTTCTTTCAAATCATTTTCTTCTTGCATGCTCTTTATTTTTGAAATAACTAATACATAGTATGAAAAAAAAGCATTTAACTAATATAGTATGAAAAAAAAGCATTTAAATTTCAGCGTCATTAATATTTATAATTAGTTGTTATTAGTGCCGCATTGACTTAGTAGTTATAGCACTGAGCTGTTGTTGTAAATGATTGGGTTTCTAACCACAGCGACAGCTTAAAACCCTCCCAGCATCAGTTCAATGAATACCAGCTAAGCTAGTTTCGAAACCATGCCATGGCTCGTGTACAATGCTGGTCCTATTGCCAACATTATACAAATGGTCAATAAGTTACTAGTTGCACTTATTGGTTGTTATGGGGAAGCTTTATTTCATTGCATGTTATTTATCAGGTTAATAGTTAATTCATGTTTAGAGCTATGGTTCTTACCATTACAGCCTATAAAGATGTTATCGTTATAAGTTCGTCTTGGAGGACCAGATTTTTATGCTTCCTTAATAAGCTATTTTAATCTATATTAATGCACCATATTTTTTGTTTATTTTTAAACTTCAAAAATGAAAAAATTTGTATCGTTTATTAAAATAAATAGTTTTTCGATAAAAACAAAACAAAAGTGGTAATTAACAGTATCAAATAACATGCTAGCATTTCTTTCTAGAAGAGATAATACAGATTTTTTTGAAATAATTCTAATTTGTCTTTCTAGGAGAGGTTAAACAGATTCTTTAAAATAAAATTAAATTAATAATAATATATAAAATAAAAAAGTTCTTGGGAAGGAAAAAGCTGCATACATCTGGGTTTAGGTTAGACACTGTGTGTAACTCACCAAATATATATATATCTAAAATTATGATAATTATATATAGATATAAATTGTTATAATAATTACTTAAATTATATTTCCTCTGGGAAAGGAAGTGGTGATTTCATCTAAAGTTATTTTAATGCTTTTACCAAGCATCATCCTGAAACATGTATACATTATATATTGGTAACTGATAATTATTGTATGTAATTACACTGTTAGAAATACACCTTCCTTGTATGATAACATCTATGTATTGCCCAACAATTGTTTCTACGCTTATTACTTTTCTGTCTTATGCATAAACATGCAACTATTATCATTCATTCTTTATCAAGCTGTAGGAACTTCTAAAATAAAAACTATGTACTCTTTATACTCAAATATATTGCAGTAATTGGATTTTTTTTTTAACTTCATTAAAAGCTTCATTAAAAGCTATTAGTTCTCATTTATCTTCTTGCATATGGCCTTTCTAATTTGTTATTGACTAACTCTCTTCTTCGTTATTTCTTAGCTTCTGCACTTTCTCTACTATTCTTATTCTTTCTCATAATAGATTGGAAATACCTGTGATTTCAGATGAACAGTTCTTCATTAACTTTTTAAAAGATATAACCAAAAGAGTGATATTTGGGCACTTGGCTGTGTTCTATATGAACTGATGACATTGAAAAGACCTTTTGATGCAGCTGTAAGTAGTAAATTTGAAAATATTTGAATGCATTCGTATAATTTTAGATGTACACGTATAGTTCTTTTATTCATGTGTTATAGTAATTTATTCATGTGTTATCTAAGAAATTATTTATTTATTTTACATTCTTTATGTATAACTATTTCAAAAATGTCTGCGCTAAATTGATTAGATTTGTGCTAATTAATAGAAAATTTAATATTGTTATACATTTAATAATGTAACATAATATTAACAATTTGTTTAATTCATTAAAGTGAAAGAACATAGATTTTAATATTATATATTTAGATTTAAGAATTGTAGACTTTAGAATTCCATTGAAAGAAATTATTTAATAGCAAAAAAATCAAATGAATTACTAGAAATTCCATTTACATGAATGTCATGTTCTTTTTGAAGGTAGGAAAAGTGGCAAAATGCCCCTAAATTCCTATTTTAGATGATTGTGATGTGATCCATTGTCAAAAAGGTCTTACAATATTAACCACTTTACAATATTGATAATTAAACATTAATATGTGATTGAATAGAATTCTTTGTGATATTGAGTAGATTTTCATAAACATTTCATCATTTAGAGTACATTGCTGTTTGAAAAAATTAATTTGCAATCATTGTAAATCTCTGTTCAAAAGCAAAAATAAATCTATTAATCATACTTTTCTTGCTTGAAAATTTTATCCAAATTTTTCGTTACATATTAGTTATTGTCACTAATATGTAACAAATTTCACAAGTGATAAAAATATATATAAAATGATGGTAATGTGCATTATTTTATATCCGTCATTATGTCTTAGTAAATATGTTTTTTCCTTTTAGGCATTAGATAATTTTAATAATGTAACATTTAATCTTAAATACTTTTGAAAGCTTTTTTCCTTTAATTGAAATTCACTATTTTCCTATATCTGCTCTAACAGTTATCTCAATTTTAAAAATTTCCAAAATTCATTGAATATTTTCTTTTTGGGAGCTTTATCATTATTTTTTGTGTGCTAATACCAAATTGTTTCATGATATAATATCGATTTATCGATTTTTATTTGAATAATGGGGGTGTAGGGAGCGGAGTTACAGACCATGTCAACCTTCATCTATGAAAAGGTACCCCGACATAGAGTCGAGTTACGTCAAATTTATATTATAT